CCCCCCCCAGCCCCTTCGCAGGCAGCGTCTAGGAGCTGTTCTCAGCCCCAGGTTCTGTATCATCCCCAGAGAGGATCCCTCGAGGTTAAGGCACCGGAGAGGGGCTGGGGAGCTCAGGTCAATTCCCTGTTCTGCCACAGCCTCTCTGTGTGACCTGGGTCAAGTCACTTAGTGTCTCTGGCTCACATCCTGGAAGGCGGTGTGATGCCTGACTCCTGCACTGGTGGGCAGGTTAGCCCTTCCGTTCCCCCCACTGTTGGTCTGGGCGAGTGAGGCTGCAAGCTCTTGCAGGCAGGCTGTCTCTGGGCTGGGGTGTGGCTCCTATCAATCATGAGGCCTTCTGGGCCAGAGCGCTGATTGTAGCCTAGTTCTATAGCCATAGCTGCTGCGGGGCCCACCCAATTTCCCCCTGTAGAGGGAGTGAGACAGACCAAACCACACCTGACATGACATTATGATAGTCCTGTCACCTACCAGGCTGCTGGAAGGTTCTCCGATTCCCTGGGGTTGGGGCAGTAGAGGAACCTGTAGCCCAGCAGTTTTCAATTTTTTTCCCTCATGACCCGGCTGAAGAAAATTGGTGGTGCCCGCAACCCAACATAATGTGACTAAGTGTGCTTCTTGCCTCTCCTAGCACCGCAGACCAGGCTGCACCCAGAAGCAGTCAGGAGCAGGTTCCCAGCCAATGGGAGTACGGAACTAGTGCTGGGGGGAGGGGCAGTGTGTGGAGCCCTGTGTGCTCCCCACTCCACTCCCCCCGCACCTAGGAGCCAGGCCTGCTGCGACCACTTCTGGGGCGCAGCGCCGTCTGCAGTGCCAGGACAGGCAGGAAACTGCCTTAGCCTCCCCACTGCTCTCCTGATCCTCATGTCGCCACCAGCCTGACATTCCACCACCCAGAGCTGTGTCGTGACCCGTTGTTTGAAAACCAGTGCTGTAGAGCCTCTGCCTTTCAATCAGAGAGGTCATGGTTCTTGTCTCTGCACTCCCTGCATTGGTGGGAGGTTTAGCTTGTTTCATCTCTAGCTTCCATAATTATCCAATGGAAATGCTCCTGGGAACTCGCCCCTTGCACCCAGCACTTTTAGCCAGAGCTCAAAACACTGCATCAAAGGTCAGCTGGAGGATGGGGGAAACTGAGGGAATTAAGTGACACCTCCCTCCCCCATCCCTAGAAGAGCCCAGAATGGAGCCCAAGTGTTTTGAGTCCGAGCACAATGACTTGGCCACTGGCCCAAGCTGCCTCGCAAACAATTTCCCCAAGTTTCGGGTCTTGCAAAGAAGACATTTCAACATAAAGAATGAAGAGCCAGAGGAAAAATATCTTCCAGGCGCCAAAGGTATAACAAACTCTTATAACAAACTCGGACCATTTACTAATCTATTACCCTTTTCTAAAGGGCCATTCTTGCTGCTGACCAAGCAGGACACATTTTCCTTGATTCAAATGACATACACAGGAGGGATTGAAATGCCCACCATTGTGATTTTGCGCTTGATTTGGAAAATTAGGTTTTTTGGTTTAATGGCTTGTGTGTCTGTTTTTGTCCAGACCCGTTCTGTGGCTTGGACTTTACTATTCCAGATGACACGTGGCAAGAAGATCAGCTGTCCTCCCAGCTCTACAGAAACAAACAGGTACCGTTTCATACCACTCACACACTGGACAATTAAACCATTAGTTACAGTTTTAAAATGTTCTTTCACCCGCCCGCTCTATGCTGGCCCTAGAATTTCAAGTTACTGTTGCCAAGCGTAGGCCTGGGAATGTCTTCATAACTATGTTTCTCTGTCCAATGAGTATGGAAAACACTGGCAACTTGAAATCTTTAATTTTCTCTCCTTCCTTACTGTGATTTGTGAAACTAGAGTGGCTTCCATTAGCAGCAGCATTGCTGTCTGTCCATGTCACAGGTCTGGCAGTTTCATACCTGATCTGATTTCTGGCTTCCACAAAAAAGGAGAAGGTAGCCCTGGGACCTGCTTTAGGGTCCGTGGCTGCAAAGACTTACACACATGGGCTACGTCTAGACTGGCATGATTTTCCGCAAATGCTTTTAATGGAAAAGTTTTCCGTTAAAAGCATGTGCGCAAGATGGCTTTTGCCCGAACGGGAGCAGCATAGCATTTCTGCAAGAAGCACTGATTTCAGACAGTAGGAAGTCAATGTTCTTGCGGAAATTCAAGCGGCCAGTGTAGACAGCTGGCAAGTTTTTCTGCAAAAGCATGTGCTTTTGCGGAAAAACTTGCCAGTCTAGATGCAGCCATGCAGAGCAGGGTCTCTCATGGGATTAGTTGTGTTGACTGGAGTAGGGGTACCCATGTAAGCAAAGTTAGTCACATGCATGGCTCTTCACAGGATCCAGCACCAAGATTAGAAGTCACCTGTATAGCTCTTTTTCTTTCCTTTTCCATGAGTGCTAATAAGCAGTAGGAGAGCTAATGGTTGTCTTTCTAGCTGCTTATACCTAGCTCAGTAGTCAGATCACGCAGAGTGACCCTTAACCAAAACTGTTGCTATGAAATCTTTGCCACGCTGAAGTTTGGCCGTTGATGTCAGTGAGGGCAGGATTTCTAGCTAGGTCAAGAAGTCCACAGACTTCCTTTCCGTTGCCCATTATCTGTCTTGTCTATTTAGATTGTAATGTCTTTCACGGGGAGAAGTCTGTCACAGCGTGCAGGTACTGTATTGGGAACAGTGCAGTTCCATCTTCATTTGAAACCTGTAGGGTGTGTTTCTTTGCCTCCAGCCTGTCAGACACACGCATGCTAGCTCTCCTTGGTCTAACACACTAACATTGACAGTGGCCAACGTCCGGTGCTTCAGAGGGAGTGAACAGAACAGGGAATCATCACATGATTCCTCCCCTGTCACCCATTCCCAGTTTTTGACAAACAGAGGCTAAGAACCCCATTCCTGCCCATCCTGGCTAATAGCCATTGATGGGCCTATCCCCTATGAATTTATCTAGTCCTTTTTTGAACCCCATTAAAATCCTGGACTTCACAATAACCTCTGGCAAGAAGTTCCACAGGGTGACTCTGCATTGCATGAAGAAGTACTTTCTTTTGCTTGTTTTAAACTTGCTGCCTATTCATTCCATTTGGTGATCTCTAGTTCTTGTGTTATGAGGAGTAAATTCCACTTCCTTATTTACTTTCTCCATGCCCATTGTGATTTTGTAGACCTCTATCATATCTCCCCGCTTAGTCATCTATTTTCCAACCTGAAAAGTTCCAGTCTTATTAATCCCTCTCCTTATGCAGAAGCCGTTCCATACCCTTCATCACTGTGTTTCCCTTTTCTGAATTTTTTCCAGTTCCAATATATCTTTTTTGAGATGCAGTGACCAAATCTGTGTGCACTGTTCAGGAGGCGGGCGTACCATGGATGTATATAGAGCCCAAGCCTGTAATATTAATAACAACACCTGGATCCATATCTTGCAGCACGCATATCTACTTTATAATTCTCTCGCCCCCTCATTTTCTCTCTAGCCAGGTAGAGGTTAGTGAGTGAAGGAACCAAAGGGAAGTTTAAGGACTCTTTGAAATGCAGAAGGAAGAAAACTGGCAGCATAATAATCTCTGTGTATTTAAAGGGCTATTTGCAGTTCATTTCCCTGCACACCTCTATTATTCCTCTGTGGTTAGAGTTTTTCAGAATAATCTCTTCAAACATTTGCTGAAGAATAGGAGAAGTCAAAAGTGAGACGTGAACAGTCATGCCACTTAGCTTTACAGGGACAAGGGGTTCCTGGGGATTGAATTCACAAAGCAAATAGCAAAATCATCAACCCCCTGCAGGCCATAGAGAGAGAATTTATTAGGTTACAGAGTCAAGAGAGCAAGGAAGCTTCTTTTCATCAGTGTCTGTATTTCACAGCTACAAGACACCTTGCTCCAGAAAGAAGAGGAACTTGCTAGGTTACATGAAGAAAATAACAACCTCCGCCAATACCTGAATTCAGCCGTGGTTAAGTGCTTGGAAGACAAGGCCAAGGTACTGTGTCCAAACCTGCTATGAAAAGGCATGTCCATGAGAGAGAAAGAAATGGAACATGTAGGTGGAATGCCTCATGCGCAGATGCAAATAAACATAGGTGTAATAGGTCACATTGTGGGCCGACAGCATTCAAGAGGAAAGGACTTTCGAATGCTCACCAGGCTGGTGACGCACTGCACGGTAAGTGTGTACCGCTATGGTGTGCCTTACCAGTGCAGAGTGGGTATGGGTGTGTGACAGCCCTGATCGGCAGCCGTTATTGCTGGTTTGGTTTATGATGCGTGGAGAGATTTATAAGTAAGGGACTAACTTTAACACCTGACTCCTTTAACTGGTGATCAGAGCTCATTACATTGAAAGGACACTGGAAAGCAAGGCATGTACCGGTAATCAGCTTCATGAGAGTTCAGAGAGTAGCAGCGCAAACCTGGGAAAGGGTAATAGGGAGCACTCTGTTCCCAGCTCTGCCACTAATTTCCCCTTCTCCTTGGGCAACTCATTTAGCCTTTGGCACCCAGCCCCTCCAGTCGTAGAACGTGAATGCTAACAGCTTAGCTGGCAGCCCATGGCTGTTGCGGGGCTTAGTTAATAAACATTTGTCCAGCACTTTGAGATGCTGGGATGGATGGTGCTACTGAGGGCTGAGCACTGTCGCTAAGGATGGGCCACTTAGGGGTCCTGAGACCCATACTCAGGCCTTACTTGGTCAGCCACGTGGCAGGAGTGAAAACCAAACTCCTTGCCATCCTCTAGGGCACGAGGGCAGAGGGAGTCTCTAAGATGCTCTCCTCCCCTGATTTGTCCTAAGTGTGGGAGAGCTTATCTTTTGGCTCCTCCGCTCCCCTCTGAGGCTACATCTACACGACTAGTTTTTGTGGCCAAAAATATGCTAACGAGGAACTCATTTGCATGAGCCACATCTCATTTGCATATTTTCTGCCGATACCGGTCTCGAGCTAAACGGGCGTTTTGCGCAAAAACAAGCAGTGTGGATGTTTTCTTTTTGCGCAAAAACCCCTTTTTCCTCAAGATCGGTAAACCTCCTTTTTTGGGGCACAAGGGTCTTGCGGGAAAAGGGGGTTTTGTGCAAAGAGAAAACATCCACACTGCTTGTTTTTGCGTAAAAACCGTTAGTGCAAAAATGGATTGGCAGAAAATATGCAAACCAGATCACAACTCATGCAAATGAGCCCCTCATTAGCATATTTTTTGCTGAGAAAACTTGTAGTGTAGACGTAGCCTGAGATATGCTCCACACCGTGTGGGTCCCTGCACCCAGGTTCTGTGTTCCTTCTTGCCCTGTCCCCTCCCAATCACGGGGGGACTATGAGAGGCAGATACATGTGCCCCTCCAATCCAGCCCTGGATCCCTCAAGTAAGTGGCTCGGGGAGGACCCTAAGCTCCCTCTCCCCCCACTGGTGTCAGACCAGATCAGCTGGCAGGATCGGTGCTGTGCTGCACGAGTTTCTAGTTCACAGCTTGCCGAGAGAAAAAGCAAACAAAGCTCGGGCCATGTTGACACTGTTGCATTCTTATCTCAGAGGGGTTTGGGCTGTTTCCAGAGACTGCACAGCACAAAATAATTAGTGCCATCCGTGTTTGCTCACCGGGAATGAGCTGTGGGGAAACCGTGTGCTTTCGTAGACCCACGTGAGGCACCCAGCTCTGAGAAAGCCCGTGGCAAAACACATGCTGCGGCTGGGGAGTTGGATGATCAGTGTTTAATCTGCTCGGTCTTCCCCGTTCTCTTGTGTAGAAACTGCTGCTGCCCAGTGGCAAGAAGAAACCAGCCAGTCTCAGAAATGGCAAGCGGAAATTCAAAGAGGGTGGCTACCTTGCCCTGCGAGAGATGCCTCACCCCTCCAAAGCCAGGAGGAACCTGCTCCGTGATTTTATTGCCTGTGAAGAACAAGCTGCCCCGGCTGTAGATACCTGGGTGCTGCAAACCCTTGGACTGAAAGATATCGACACCATTGACGAGTCTTTATCAGCTAACTACAGTGCCCTGCCCTCGGAACTTGGGGCAAACCCGTACTGCCCGAGCCAGGGGGAGGCAATGGACTATTGCAACGAGGACTCGATAGCTGCGTACGGCTGTGCTCCGATGATTCCTATAACCTGTGTGGCCAGTCCTGGGAAGCAGGATTTACCCTACAACCAGCCACCGCGTGCTTCCTCGGTGCTGCCCAGCGGGGCCCCTTTCGGATTGCCTTACTTCGCCAAGGACGTATCACCCAACAAAACCGATGTGGCCTTCACAACCTCCCTGAGCCCCCACCGCAACGTCAAGACACACACCTTCCAGCAGGGCCAGGCCTTCGTGCGCCGAGATGAGGACGGAGGCTGGAAATTCACCTGGGTCCCCAAGCAAGCCGAGTGATTCCCTTCCGCTCCGCCCTCGCTTCTGAGCACTGCCATAAGGGACATGTTTACAAACACAACGGCAGAAGCCTTTCTCGCCCTTGAGGTGGATGCTGGGAACCGAGGCCACCTTCCCTCAAGGCTGTTCTGTCTTGTCTGAAATGCTACACTCCAATCCTTGCGTCTAGTTCTCGCAGGGACGGCCCCAAAAGTATCCACACAGAGCCAGAGGTACAAAGCAGCCCCCGGCATCTACCACCACTTAGTCAAAATCCTTCTGCTGCCAGCCAGCTCCTGCCATCCTGTATTTTCCTGGCTGAAATGTACCCAACTATTGCTGTTTCTGACTGTCTGGTGACTATCCTGCCTGGACTGGCAAGCCAGGGGCTGGAACAGCACTTTTGGGAGAGCAGTTAAGGAATAGACTCTGCTCCAGCCCTTTTGTGCCAGCAGCCAAGGGGACCACAGACCAATGGAGACTGGTTTGGTAGCTTGCTCGGTGGTGGGGAAGCCTTGGAGAATGAAACCCCTAGCGGCTGCATAAATTGCTTAGCAGTGAAGCAATCCTTTCATGAAAGACCGAGTTGGCTCACACCACAGTCATGTAGGGCTGTCTTCTTTTGATGCATCCTCAAAATCAGCAGGATTTGCTCTGGTTGCCTTCAGGCTGCATTGAAGTTACAAGCAACAAGGCAAATTGAATGGATTTCTGTGCTCACCGAGCCACTAACGCATTTACCCACAAGGCTTGTCCAAGCTATTTCCCTGGCGCTGTAGGAGGGGTAGCACTCTCTTGAAATACAGATCCTGGGTCAAGCCCTCAGTGGCTGTCAATTGGTTTAACTCCACTGACGTCACCAGAAGAGGCTCTGGTCCCACTTTAGAATCATAGAATCCTGGGGATGGCAGGAGTCATCGTGTCCAGCCCCCTGCCCAACGCAGGACCAACCCCAACTCAATCATCCCAGCCAGGGCTTGGTCAAGTCGGGACTTAAACACCTCTAGGGATGGAGATTCCACCCCCTCCCTAGGGAACCCATCCCAGCGCTTCCCCACCCACCTAGGGAAATCGTTTTTCCTAATGTCCAATATAGTGTGGAAAATTATTTGATGCTTTGCTAGAGACCAGGAAAGCTACATTCTCTTCTGCTCACAAGATTCAAATGGCCCTGCGGTTGGTTGACTTGCTTGGTACTGAGCCCTTCCAGGACACCCTGCGGGTTGTCTTCGACACTGCTATGGACACCTGCTCACGCGAGCCGTTTCTGCTGCTTTGCCAGGGTTACTCTCGACAGTCGCAGCCGCTCTTGGGAAGTTTGGCAGTTGTTTGCCATTTCAGGAAATGACACACAGACCTTTCTGTTCTGGTCTCCTTTCATGCAGTCCGGGGATTCAACTTTACAAACCAGCAGTGCTAGCCCAGAGGTTTGTTTTTCAGGAATTGGGCTTTTCTTGTATACGGGTTGGACCTACCTGGTCCGGCACCCTCAGGACCTGATCGGTCCCAGACAAGGGATTTTGCTAGACTGGGGAAGGTCTGGGATGGGTGGTGGGTGGGGGGGACTAGCCTTGGCTCCATGAGCTGCAGCCGTGGCAGCCCATCTGGAGCTCTGGCAGCCTCTGCAACCCTGTCAGCTCCGTGGCCCAGTGAGCTCCGCCCCGCCCCACTGGCTTCGGGGTCTGGTGCCCCGCAGGTTCTGTTGCCCCACTGGCCCCACCATCCAGCTTTGTTCCCAGCCTCCAACAACCTCTATTGCTGGGACTCTCTAGGCCAGCAGCATCCATGCTTCTGCCAGATACGGATGTTGCCAGACCAGAGAGTCCCGGACCACAGCAGTTCAACCTGTCTCTGGGAAACGTGTCCTTCCCATTAGAGGTAGCATCATCAACTGAATAAAGCACTTGACTGGAAGCAGGGATTTCCATGCTGTGTTCTAGGTTCTACCCGGGTTGTGAGGCTGATTATGTCTGTCTGGAAAGTGTTTTAAAATCCACGAGTTTAAGGTGCTATTCAACTACGCTGCACTTTTAGTACCATTAATAACAAAATGAAGTCAACTTACAAGAAGTAAATGTACCAGCCACCTGTTTATATGACCCTTATTGGCTAATTTACCCCCTGTGGCTTTTTGATACCTAAATATTGGTTGTATTGAAAACCAAGGGACCAGTCTGGCACTTGCTCTCATGGCTTGTTCTATTGACATCAATACGACTGCTGTCCTTGTGTGAATGAGGGTTCTCCAGTTGCTTATTTTAATATAACATCTAGATACAATTTTATTCGGTACGGATGAGGCCTAAAATCCATTTTCTTTTCAAAATATTCTCCTGTGCCTTCACATTTCAGTATTTGAGCTTCCAATTAAGGAGCTAAACTGAGTCCTCCCCAATCATTTAAATCCACAAACCCATCTCTCTTTGGGCAGACCTTATTTTAAAGTAATTGGGCAGACTTCCTGAGCATAGAATAAACAGTTTAAATGCTTGTATTGTAAGGAATATTAATTTTTAACCAGTGCAATCATGCACATGAATTAACCCCCTGGAGTTTGATGCTATTTCCAGTGAATTCAATGGAAGTTTTGCCAACTTCATCCAGAGCAGGATCCAAGCTACTGTTCTTCGATAGCAATATAATTTGCTGCTTTGGTATATTTTAAATGAAAGTAGAAAAGTTGTTCCTGTTAGAAAAAATAAAGTAAGGAGGATTTATTTTTAAGCAAAACATTGGCTAGCTCTAGCCCATACTGTACGGGAGGATGTGGAAGAAAAGGACTGATATGGTGATGTTTTCTACAGCTGTTAAGGCTGCTGTTGTAGGGAGTGTAGACCATGCATTGCTTCATTGCCTTTCCTGAACATGAAATGTGTTTCTGTGTATATGCTCAAAATAATTAGACAATGTGACCATGGGATTAACCCTCAAACTAGCTCAACATTTCTTATCTATTTCAAAGCAGCTACACAAAATGAGTAGAGGGTGCAATTCTATTGCATGCGTTTTAGTGCTGTAGAATTGAGTGACGTTTGCAACGTAAAATAACCCCACTTTTTAAATCCTATAATTAATTTTAAATCAAATGAATTAAAAATGAAGGATTAAGATAGTCTCTGTGTTTAATGTCTTTTGTGATCTATAACTATCAACAAGCTTCTTGGAGCAGGGGTCTTATCTTCCTCTGTGTTATTTACTATCCACCATTAGGGTGAAATTCTCCCCTTGCAGAGTTCTAACACAAAGTCTATGTTGCACTTAAGTCCCAGCTAAACCCTCAAACTAGAGTTTAAATGGAATGGGGGGAGGGATCACTCGGTGGTTTGAGCATTGGCCTGCTAAACCCAGGGTTGTGAGTTCAATCCTTGTGGAGACCATTTAGGGACTTGGGGCAAAAATTCATTAGGGATGGTACTTGGTCCTGCTAAGAAGGCACAGGACTGGACTCAATGACCTTTTGAGGTCCCTTCCAGTTCTAGGAGATAGGCAATCTCCATTATATATATATATATTTTAATTTAAGTGGTGCCTAGACCTCTGCCAGCCCTCTGTGTTTCACCCTTAGCATGTCACAAAGAAATGAGAGAGGGAAGTGAATAATTTCATGTATCCATTTTCCCTGCAGGTTTCTCAGTTTGATTCCACACAACATTTTAACTCTTTGGGTTTCCACAGATTGTTCTCTGAGTATTTTACTTGCAATAGCTGGGACTGACCTTATCGACTCACAAGGCATTTTCTTCTGTTTGACATTTGGTAAAAATGAGTGCATGTGCAAATTTAAAAGGGTATTTTGGGAAAATACTGCAGCATGTGACTGAAATTTGCTCTTTGCAGCCGCTTATGCTAATTAAATTGAATGTTTTCAGACATCAAACGCAAAAGGATAAAATGAATTTGCAATAGTATTTCTGGAAGCTTTTTATTTGCCACATTCACTTCATTCTTACTCAAAACCAGGTTACATTTCCTCTAGAAACTACATCAGCAGTTGAGCTTGGATTTATCATGAGACCAAGAGTACCAATAATAATAATAAAAAGCTTTTTTTTCCTTAGTTGACTTCCTACTTTTCCACTTTAAGCCCTGGTCTACACTAGTGCTGTGTCTAGACTGGCCAGTTTTTCCGGAAAATCAGCCACTTTTCTGGAAAAACTTGCCAGCTGTCTACACTGGCCGCTTGATTTTCCACAAAAGCACTGACTTCCTACTGTAAGAAATCAGTGCTTTTTGTGGAAATACTATGCTGCTCCCGTTCGGGCAAAAGTCCCTTTTGCGCAAAAGGGCCAGTGTAGACAGCTCAGATTTGTTTTGCGCAAAAAAGCCCCGATCGCAAAAATGGCGATCGGAGCTTTTTTGGGCAAAAGCGCGTCTAGATTGGCCACAGACCCTTTTTCGCAAAAAGTGCTTTTGCAGAAAAGCGTCCATGCCAATCTAGATGCTCTTTTCTGCAAATGCTTTTAACGGAAAATTTTTCCGTTAAACTCCTAGGCTACATCTAGACTGGCATGATTTTCTGGAAATGCTTTTATTTCAAAACACTCTCCCCTCCTCCCCCCGGATCTAATTTATAAGCGGAGCATCCACAGTACCAAGCCTGTTATTTTGAAATAGTAGGCCGCTGAATTCAAAATCTGGACACCTGCTTTTCATCGGGAGTAACGTTAATTCCGAAATAGTTCTTTTGAAATAGCAGTAGTGTGGACGCACCTGTGCTGCTATTTAGAAATAACTACTCTCCACAGTAATTTGAACTAATTATTCCCCAGTGCTTCCTGGGGCTCTAAGTCTGAGGTGGTGCATCCATATTCACAGAGCTTGCGTCTGAAAATTGGGAGTTATTAAGTAGCATTTACTAATTTTGAAGTAGTTTCCTAGTTTAGACATGGCCTATGAAAGTTAATCATAATGCCAGATTTAAGGAACATATATCTTTTATATGGTGGTCTAGTAAATAGGGGACCTAGATTGGGATTACTCAGTAATTTGGGTTCAGTCCCCGGCTAAACTAAATACTTCCTATGTGACCTTGGGCACGTCATTTAATCTACCCCATTCCTCATCTGTAAAATGGGGCTAGTCCTTCCCTACCACACAAGGTTGTGAGTTTCAAAATCAATTTGAGCCAGGGAGTAGAAATGGAAAGTTCTGAATTCTGACATTTGCTCACATAACTTTGTGTCTCTGCTTTTGCTGGTCAGTTCTTATCAAACTGAACCGAAATTATGACACTAGCTGGTGTAAAGTACAGGGGAAATTTGCTGTAATGATAACTGCCAAGGACGAACAGGCCTAGACACCACTTACATTCTCTTTGAGCTCTTGAAATAGGGTTTGATTAAGTAGGGCATAACTGGTCCAGAAACAATGGCTGCTGGTCCTTTGTGTACAAGTGAATTTTACCCATTGTAAATATCTATCTTGTATTAACATATTTGTTTTATTTTTTTATCTGGAGGCTTTTTTTTGTATTCTGTGAATGTAACACATACCAGCTGCACACTTTAAAACCAATCTGTATCTTTAGAAATATGTGATAATATAAACAACCATTAATTTAACACTTAATATTTGGAGGTTTATGATTTGTGTGTGTGCGTGATTGAGAAAAAAGTTCTAATGATATGTAAGAGTCAATTTTATTTGCATCAATAAGTTATGTCTAATAAAGCCTGAAATAACCCCTTGTGCTGTGCTGTAAATCTCTCTCCCACAAGCTCTCCATGAGCCACTGTAATTAAAATTCACCCCATGATGGAACAGTGACAACACACTTTGGTACTGAAGCCTCATGCTGGCCAGCAGTAAGTGATAATTCACATGATAAGTGAATTATTTGCTCATGCACAATATGTGCACAAAAGTTGTGCTCACCCACAAGAAAAGAATTTGTCAATAACAAGTACGCGCCTTTAAGACCTACTTCTGCACAATGCTCAGTACCATTTCATTGACAATATTACAGGTTGAACCTCTGTAGCCTTGCACTCTCTGGTCCAGCGACATCCATGTCTGGCATGATTTGAATTAGCCAGAAGTCTACTTGTCATGGGTGTGGCCAAGTGTCTCATGGTCCCATAAACTTTGTTTCCAGCCACCAGTCCTGGCTCTCAGTGTTCTGTGTTTTTACTTATCTCTGATTTATCCCTGAGGGTACATCTACACTAGCCCCCTAGTCCGAACTAGGGAGGCTAATGAGGGTGACCAAAATTGCTAATGAAGCGTGGGATTTAAATATCCTGCTCTTGATTAGCATATTCCCAGTCGGTCGCCATTTTGGAAACTGACTAGCCGAAGTAACTGCCCGTGTTTAAACGCGGCAGAGAAGCGGGATTCCGAGATAATTCGAACTAAGGGGTTTAACTGTTAAACCTCATTCCATGAGGAGGTACATCATTCATTTAGATCAGGTTTGTGGTCCATACCTACAGTACCCAACCTCCGGATCCAGTCCCACTGAAGTAAATGGCAGTTTTGCCATCACCTTGGATGAAAATGGGATCAGGCCTTTCCATATGGTGACAGAGTCAGGTCAGAGGGATACAGAAAGTTGTGGAAGGGAGCTATCATAGACTCATAGAGCTGGAAGAGACCTCAGGAGGTCATCAAGTCCAGGCCCCTGCTCTAGGCAGGACCAATCCCAACTAAATCAACCCGGCCAGGGCTTTGTCAAGCCGAGAATTAAAAACCTCTAGAGATGGAGATTCCACCCCCTCCCTAGGTAACCCATTCCAGTGCTTCACCACCCTCCTAGTGAAATAGTTTTTCCTAATATCCAACCTAGACTTCTCCCACTAACTTGAGACCATTGCTCCTTGTTCTGCCATCCGTCACTACTGGGAACAGCAACAAACCCAACTCCCTCAGCCTCACCTCATAGATCATGTGCTCCAGCCCCTGAATCATTTTGGTCACCCTCCGCTGGACCCTTTCCAATGTGCCCACCTCCTTTCTGTAGCGGGGTGCCCAGAACTGGACACAATATTCCAGATGTGGCCTCACCAGAGCCGAATAAATAGTAGCCTCAGACTAAGAAGATCTTTGTTCCCGGGGTAACTGGGAGGGGCTGGTCTAGAACCAGCAGAGTTTATTAGGGCAGTTAAGTGCCTGGGGCAAATTGAGCGGGCTTGCAGAGTCAGGCGAGCCTGGGTTAATTTAACACCTGGGGTCAATTAAAGAAACCAGTTGAGACTGGTTATAAAAGGAGCTTCGCTGCAGTGGGTGGGGTGTTTGAGGAGCTGAGAGGATGGAGGAAAGGGCTGCCGGGAGCAGGAGAAACCAAGCCCCAAGTGGATACTAGGAGAACAAGCCAGAGAGAAGGAAGGTGCCGGGGAAGTAGCCCAAGAGTCATGTACCTGTCTCATAGCAGGTGTTGGAGACTCTCAGAGGCTGCTCCTGTCACAGGGCTCTGGGCCCGGGTTTACCTCCAACACCCACTCCCCAGTCCCACTCAGGGAAAAGACGGTGGAGCTTATTCTCCCCCTAAACTTTAAGCTGGCCAATGATGATAGGAGCTCAACAAACAGCAGGCTAATGCCCTAGGTGTGATGCCTAATACTGAGGACTGCTGTGAGCCTCTGTGAGGCAAGCAAATCCGCCTGCAAGTGCAGGACCCACCGAGTTTAAGTAGGAGCTTTGTCACCATATGAATTTTGGGTGTTCAGGAAATGCAAGATTGATCATCCA